TTATGGGATATCTACTACTAATTAATAATAATCCTCCAAAATTTACACAACTATATATATATATATGACACAGAAAATGAAGTATGAAATCGGATAGCATCATTCTCATTTGATAGTGAATCCAAAAACATAATACAATTTATAGTTGAAAATCTAATCAGAATGCTTGATAAAATAAATAAATTAGTTAAACTTTTTCGAATGATAAGGGATAGATATCAACAAGATGAGATACCGTCTATGAAACTAAGGCTTATAAGCTGAAGAAATACGTATAGTAACCAATATGACCTACCCACATCGAACGATATAGTTGGTTTAATAGTTGGAGATATTGGTGAATATGAACAAGGAAGAGACATTATTATCCAAGATAGAACAGATACTTTACAATGAATAACAAAATTACACCCATGTTATATGGCCCTTCAATATCCTTTATTATTTCCATATGGAGAAGATGGCTACACAACAAATTTAAAATATAATATAAATAACTTAAGTAATAGATATATAAGAAAAATAATCTCTATGCGAGAATTCTATTGCCATCAATTACAACAACGTAGAATTCAAGGCAATACACTTTCTCGAGGAGGCAGATTATTTCAACAATATGTAGTTGATGCATATGCTTCTGTAAAAGAGGATCGATTAGATTATATTCAAAAAAATCAAAAACATTTGTGATCCGAGATTTATCAAGGAATTCAAGACGTTATTACAAGAGGAGACACAAATGCACAAGCAATAGGAAAAAGAATTATCCTTCCTTCAAGCCATACTGGAAGCGCTAGATATATGATCTAAAACTATCAAGATGCAATGGCAATTTGCAGAAGCTATGGAAACCCAGATTTATTCATAACATTTACATGTAATCCAATATGGCCTGAAATTACTAAAGTCCTAGCAAAAATACTTGGACAAAAAGCTAAAGATAGACAAGATATTATCATTAGAATTTTTAAAATGAAATTAGATAATGTTTTATCCATCATTAAAAATGAAAAAATATTTGGAATAATTATAGCAGGTTAGATTTCTTCTCCTAGACTTTTTTTAGTCTCTCGATAAGAAAAAAAAAAACACTCCTTTTTTCTAACACTACAAAAAAATTACAATAAAATATTTTTCAATCTTGTAGATTTATATGTTGTTGAGTTTCAAAAATGAGGACTACCACATTCTCATTTCCTCTTCTGGCTCCACCATGATGACAAACTACGTGAGCCATCACAAATAGACAGATTTATTTATGCAGAAATACCTGATCCGCATAATAATCCAATAGAATATAACATTGTAGCTGAATTTATGATGCATGGACCATGTGGCATAGCTAAGTCAAATTCTCCATGTATGAAAAATTCAGAATGTTCAAAAAAATTTCCTAAAAAATTCAACAATGAAACAACAATTGACGAAAATGGATTTGTTAACTATAAACGAAGAAACAAACAAATATGATACTAATGCAAGAGAACTAACTTACATAGAATATTAGATACGTTTGGAATAGTAAATATAAATATTGGTCTCCACGAAAAATGGGACATACAATTGGACGAACTTTTCATGTCTATCCAAGCTCTAGAGAATTATACTATCTTAAATTATTATTAAATCATCAAAAAGGCGCAACAAGTTACAAAGCTCTTTGAACAGTTAATGACATAACATATCCAACAAATCAAGCAGCATGCTATGCACTAGGCTTATTAGGAGACGATTGAGAATGGGAATAATCTATACTAGAAGCTTCATTCTGGTCAACAGCAACTTAACTACGACAATTATTCATCATAATTTTATTATTTTACAATGTAAATAACCCAATAAAATTGCTTGAAAAACATTGGAAACTTATGACAGATGATATAATACACAAAATTAAAACTTTATTTAATAACTCAAATTTTCAAGTACCTGAAACATAATTATACAATTTTGTACAATATGAACTAGAAGAATTATTAAATTCAAATTCATCAACCTTAACACATTTTAACTTACCTCTTCCAACTAGATCATTAATGGATGATTTAAATAATAAAATTTTAAGAGAAGAACTTAATTACGATATATATATATAAATTAAAGGAAGAAAATACTAGATTAGTAAATAGTTTAAATAATGAACAATAATTTATTTATCAAAAATTTTTATAATCACTACATGAGGAAAAAAATAATCTCTTTTTCATCTATGGTCATGGCAGAACCGAAAAAACATATTTATGGAATACAATAATCACAAAAATTAGATCAAATAATGAAATAATTTTAGCTGTTGCATCTTCCGGAATAGCATTACTACTATTGTTTAAGGGAAGAACTGCACATTATAGATTTTGAATACCATTGTCAATAGATAAATTTTCCACCTGTCATATTAAAAAATGAACTCAATTGGTAAATTTAATTGATAAAACATCACTTGTATTATGGGATGAAGCAACTATGACTAATAAATATTGTTTTGAAGCATTAGATAAAACACTTCAAGATTTAAGAAATAACTTTGAACAACCATTTGGTGGCATGACAATTGTCTTAGTAGGTGACTTCTGACAAATTTTACGAGTTATTCCCACAGGAACAAAGGAAGATATAATAAATGCAACTATAAATAACTCTTATTTATGGCCATATTTTAAAATTTTAAAGTTAACAGAAAACATGATATTAAAACAATACAACCGTACATAACAAGAAACAAAGGAAATTGCAACATTTTCGAAATGGATATTAAATGTTGGAGATGGTACTGCTAAAGGAATAAAAAATTTAGAAAATGAAGACACTACATGGGTAAAAATACCAGAAAAATACATACTACATTATGATTCAAATCCAATTGAAAAAATTTCAACTTAATATATAATAATTTAAATACTTACTTTTGCACTATTGAATACTTAAAAGAACGAGCAATCATAACACCGAAAAATAAAACATCTGATGAAATTAATAATTACATATTATCCTTAATTCCTGGACAAGAAAAATTTTATTATAGTTACGACACTATTGCATCCTCATCTGAAAACATAGACAAACTTAATCTTTTATATCCTCAAGAATTTTTGCACACTCTTAACTTTAGTGGAATACCACCACATGAATTAAAGCTTGAATTAGGAACACCTATAATGTTATTACGAAATCTAAATCAATCAATTGGACAAATCATAAACTCAAGCAATATTAATGAAAAAGTCTATATCCCAAGAATCATGATTTGAAGTATGAAATTGTTTATGGACTTTGGATTTAAGTAAAGGCACACTAGTATTATACAATTATACATGATTGAGTTTGATTTGGTTGTGATGATGCAGTCTAAATCTTGGAACATTATTTTAAAAGTGGAAAGGCAAGGGTTGAGCTTCGAAGGAAGTCAGGCTAGGACGACAAGGAACTAGCTATAGAACTCTACCGGAGAGGTAGGATATTTTTGTCCATATCCTTCTTAGCCTATTTTAAAGAGTTTTGGCTTATGAAAATGTTTTGAAGTTAAAACATGTTTTGTAAAGAAAAATAGTTTAAGGAGATAGCATAATTATTGCTATTAAAATCATAATGAACTGAATTAAAGTTTTAAAAGATATTTTCTTAACGATAAGATATCTTGCGAACTAGTAAGCCCACGATGGCCTAGAAATCAGGATATGGAGATCGTATCCTTGGGGGCAAAACCCGAAACCCGTACGGCCCACTACGGTGGTGATATGGCTTGTGCTTTTGGTTGTGTAAGTAATTTATCATAGCTATAAATTACTTGCTCATGCCTGTAATATGAACTTTAAGTTTATATTTTCCTTTCAGAAAAAGGATGTTTGGTTTCGGCTGATGTATTGGGACTATGCATTTCTATTTATTTATAAAAGTTTCCTAAAATATATCCTATTGGGCCTTCCACTTATTTTTCTTCTGTTTCAATGTACATAACCCCTCTCAGGCGACACTAGAAGCAGTGCTGAGTAAGTAGCAAGCACAAGTAATTCTAGCTTGTGCAGTTCAAGAGAAGAAGTTGTACACACTTCCATTCTTGTTGTACAATGTAAGATATGTATACATTCTATGGATTGTAAATTTAAATATTTCTAGACTGTGGTTGATGTCTATAATTATTCTTTTTATTTATTCATGTACGTACAATATGGAATATCCTGTGGGGGAAATCCTGAATGATGTTAGAGGCTCAATTTTGAACTTCTTTTATAAGAAAAGTGTGAAAGTCCTCGTCACTTTCTTAAAATCCAATTTCATCAAAATGTGGGGACTTGTTTGGAAATTTCCTTTATGTTTTACTTTTTTAGATCGATTTTCATATTTTTAAATGCTTAATTGCTCCCTTAATCAAATTTAATTTCTAAACGAACCTCCAGATCACTAATCCCTGTTTGGAGTGTGCAATATATATCCTCATTGATCAAGTTAGAAATTATTATATAATACAAAACTATTTAGGTGAGGAAAAATAAGATGGAAATGAGGAGATTAAATTTGTGCTTCTTTACACAATTTGAAAATTTTCAGCCACTCTATTCTCTTGTACCAAACAATCAAAAGCCTGAAAATCCTTATACTAATCCCCTCCTCCCTCACCCTCCTTCCACTTTTCCCTCCCACCAAACAGTAAGAGAACGGTCCTTTCATTCCTCTCTATTTTTCTCACTTAAATACCTTTCTTTCCTTCCTATTTTCTTTTCTTCTTACCTGACAACATTATAGTGGTCACATAGTTGACATGTGTATTATGCGATTGATTAAAACTCGGAAGTAACAATCACAAGAGGCCATATGACATTTCATAACTAAGATATAAAAATATATTCCTTTGTATACATTCTTTGATTTGTACAATCTCTCCATATTTTTAAACTTCTTTTAATTTGGAACTTGCGATGCAACGTCCATGCATGCAGGTCTCGCTTGATTCCTTTACTTCTTGTAATATTGTTGTGATGCAAACACAAAAAACAAGATCGGGAAAATTGGATTTACTAATTTACTGTACATAGAAAAAACAGCAGAGACACGTATTCTTAAGTAGACTACTTTATTTTGTATGTAATATACTCCACAAATATATATGTATATACATATGTGTATGTGGAAGAGTTTAAGGTGCTTGGATTTCCACTGATACACCAGGAGTAGGCTCTAATACCTGCACATCTTGTAATTCCTTTGACAAAAGTTCCTGCAACAAGAACCATTTTCAGCTTTAATTCTCCTACTTTCACAACCATCTAAACGCATTTACAGAACAGAAAATTGCAACTGAAAAAGAAAAAAAACAGAGAACGAAAAAGATAAAATTAAATGAACAAAGTAGAATGAGGGGAAACAGATTGAATATTATGATTGTTTTTGACAAGAAATATGCGAGTAGGCAAACGCGTAGAGAATAGGCAAAGGAAGTCTTGAAAGCAAAACGAAATGGCATAAAATCCCTACATACTTTCACCAAACATAGCAAGCTCATTTTCAATGTACGCCTTTTGGTAGACTTAACAAATAGATATGTGCTACAAAAGGCTTCAAGTGTTCTTATGTTTTTAAGCACTATAAACATCAAGAGCAAGAAAAAATATAAGCACATTTCCATCATAACTACTGCATTTTCTAAAAACAAAAGAAAATGAATTACTTTTTTCTCAATGAAATACCTAAATTTACAAAAAAACCATCTAGGTTATATATTCTCAAAGTATTCCATTTCTAAAATAATAGTTCGTCAACAATGTGTATAAGAACACAGACCTTGAACGATCCTATTGTTCCCTCGGTCTGAATTAGACTAGCTAGAAGCCCTTTGCTATCAAGGTCTCCGTTTTTCATTGGAACAACAAACCTACAAGAAGTCAGGGTTCAATATAAGATCACAATGAATCTATGCAAACTTGGCTGCTAAAACCCGAGGTAAGAAACGATACTATACTTTGCGTTCAGCAGCTTTGTGAGTTGAACAGCATCTTCTTGTCCAGATACCAAAGTGAAATTTGGTAGAAGCTGCTTTATGACTGGTGTGATGACAACATCAGCCCTTTCCTTCTCTAGAAAACGCTTGTTGTATACACAGTGAGGCTCATAGTAGAGAGTAAGCTGGTCTTGTGGAGAAGTTACAAGATACCTAGAGCATGATTACTGAAAAAATGACTAAAATTTGGCTAATAATTGTAAAGGGCGTATTATATCAAAGGAAATTCATTCCCAAATGTATGCCACAACCAATATGCATACTTAAATATCAATTTAACTAATGTACTCTAACAAGGGACGTAGTAACATGCCTTGAGCAAACAAGTCATGACTCATTAGAATGAAACTTGAAAGAAAGTTTACCCATTTTCGGGACGCTGCCAAGGAGGACCAAGAATTGGCCCTGCAGTAGCTTGAACTTTGACTTTAGAACCATTACTTGCTTCAATAACAGAGCTCTGACCAGGTTCTAGATACGTGGTCTAGAAAACATGAATTTATGTGGTTTGATCAGAATAAGGAAATGCAGTAACTATAAGCATAATTTGGTAACTTGAATACTACATTAAGATTTTGCATTAAGCATTAAGCATCAAATACAAGCATTGACCTAAAAATCAAAATAGCTCAAAGCCATTCTAGTAAAATAGACATAGCTCGTTCCGCTTTCCTCGAGTATTCAAGAGGCACAGCTAAGTGACAAGTGAGAATAGTCACGAACATTGAGAAAACAAAACATGTGGAGAGAAGATAACTATAAGATTGTTCTAAATACATTCTTCCAAGGAGTTCTAAGAACTTCAACTTCCTTAACGAAAAGCAAATCACCAATTTATTTTATTTTACTTTTTAGCAAGTGCTAGATGGTTGAAGAAATTATAGCAAACAAATTACAAAAGTGTTTCACTATTATAAATTAATAACCAAACTACTAAGCCCATTTTCAATTGATTACTTCACAATCAAATCAGAAAAATTCTGTAAGTCACAGAAGATTGCAATTACTTCAACATACGCAACCTGGATAGAGGAAAAAAAAAAAGAGATAAGAGTACCTTTTTTCTTTCCTTTTCTTTTCCTTTTTTTTTTATAAAAAAAAAAAATACTAAAGAGTACTTACATTCCTGAAAAGGGGATCAAGCAGTTCCTTAGCATTGGGAGTTGCCAACACTTTAAGATTTGGGTACTTCTTAGAGAGGGGCTTTAAAGTCTTCAAATGACAGTGATCATCAAGGCTTTGTGTACTCAGCAAGCAATCAATTTCAGGAAGATCACTTAACTGCATTAAACATTTACACAATTAGAACAAGCCCATAACTTTTATCTTAAATTCCTTTTAACAAAACAGGTAGAGAAGAAAAAACAAAAGTACCTGAAAATTCTTCAAAAACTTCTTGGCAGCATCATAAAGCCAGGGTATTCCAAAATCCAAATTTCCCATCAAAATTGGATCAACCAATATTTTCAACCCACCCACCTCCCACAACCAACTATTCCCCTAAACCAAAAAGTCCTAAACTTCATCAACAACAACCAAAAAAAAATTAATAATAACAAATAACAAATAAAAGCCCCTTAGGCAAAAGGTCCTTTTTTGGCCAACCTTTTTTTTATAAATAACCAAAATTTTTATTTTTTCAGACAAATGGATATATATATATATATATATATACATATTTAAGAACGACGGTCAGTGATAAACCAATTTATCACAATTTACTAAGTGCTTATCATTGACAAACCAATAATTTGTTGTTGGGATTGATTAATTACTAATTCATATTGAAAAATCAATGAATTTATATTGATTAGCCAGTGGTAAATTAGAATTAATCAAAAAATGATCATTTCCTAATTCTACAAAATTTCGGTCATTTACAAAAATAAAGCCCGAAAAAGGGCCATTTACTCCCAAATCCCTTTTAATGTTATCAATTTTGGGAAAGACCCAGATGAAGAAAAACGAAACCCACCTCCAAGTAAGTGAGTTTGAACACATCAGTGCCTGAAGAGCTCGACCCAGTAACGCTCTCTTGAGAAACCACAGCAGAAACCGCACCACCCAACTTGCAACTTAAAAAAAACAACACAAAAAAAAAAAGAAACTGGTATTTCAGCCCCAAATTTCTGATTAAAATATACAAATAGAGAAATGTAGCGAGAAAAACCTGGGCGTTGCAATTTTGGAGCTTGAGAATGAGGAATTTGGCTTGGTGCTAAGGAAGCAGAGTGAAGTGGAAGGCAAGGAAGGGAATGAGGGTCTTCGGGTTCTGCAAGGTTTGCAAGAAAAGGGAAGAGAATTAACGCCCGGAATAGCGGCCATTGATGGTTCCAAAGTTTTCTTCTTTGAGTTGAGTTAAGTTGTTTCGATAATCATATGATACGTAGAAGTAGGGCTAGAGAATCCTAATGGATTTGATTTGGCCACGTGCCTCGCGCCAACCCAGTATTTTCTGTTTTCTGTTTATTTTATAAATGTTTTGAGAATAAAATGAAAATAAAAAATTATGAGAATGATTTATAAAAAAGAATTATTAATGATTGAAAGTTATTTTTTTTTTCTGTTTTCATTCTATAAAATTTATCAACAACGTTACATTGAATAATTAATTATATATTATATAATAAACTAATTATTAATTAGTAAATAATTAATAATAAACAAATAGATACTAAATACTTAATTATTAATTAAAAATCTATAATTTATTAATGAAAATTAATAATAATTAGTGATTACTAATAAATTAAATATTAATTACCAAACAATGATTATGTAATTGCTATTGCTATTTCTACTTTCTAGTTATTTTCCATATCAAAAATGTAATTGCTATTGCTATTTCTACTTTCTAGTTATTAATGACTAGTCAAGAATTTGTTTTAGTTTGTTTCTCTTTTTATTCCTTTTTTTGGTTAAAATAATTTGTAAGTTTGAGAAATATTGTCATTGATTCTTTATACAAATAATTTTATTTAAAACTGCACACGAGCTTTTGAGTTAATAGTCTTTTCTTTATCTTTTCTGATACTAGCAACACTATTTCATTACCAAAGATCTAACAATAAATTACAAATTTCTATAAGTCCCTTATCAGCAAAAGCTTTGAAGACGGTGATTTTGTTCACCCTTAATGAAAGCAAACAAGCAACCAAGAATCCAGCGACTGGTAGAGTATAGCTGAAAATTCTTCTGATAAAAAAGACAGAGAAAGTCGATAGAGGATCCTTGTTTGAGACTGACGTGCATTCGACAGTGTCAACTTGAACAAAAAGTTCGTAACATTCAATGCCAGTGGCGATGAATTTAGTAATAGTTTAGAATTTGTAATTGGTATAATCAATCATGTTCAAGATCACAAAAATATTGGTCTATACATTCAATTGAACTTCCCAAGTAAAGGAGGGATCATAAAGCTGACAACATTTTGCTTCTCCAGAACCAATAGATGTGCATTATAATTGCTGTACATTTATATCTTGAAAGCAAGTTCTCTCTCCCATCTTTTGGGTTGATAAGGTATAGAACTCACAATTTTGTTACCTTCACACAATGGCAACTCTTCTTTGGAAGGCACCTTTTCGCGCCAGACAAATCCATTCTCATGCTCAATCTTCCTGAGCAACTCAGCAGCATCATCAATTTCCTTTCTATATGTTGATTTCCATGATTCTTCGCCTGGCATCTGCCTTTTCCCATCAGTCAGTGCAACTCGAAGAACAGCAATCGAAATCCCAACTTTTCCAGCGGTCTTAAGACTTTCTGCATGGTATTTCTGACCTCTCAACCTATGTAATGCCCTGGAAGATGATAAGAATTCCTGCACAATCCAGAATAAGTACCCATGATTAGATGGAAGTACAAGAATGTGAATATTGCCACCGAAACCAAAAACTTTCTATAGGACATCATCACACTCGCTACTTAAAGTAGTGATTGACACCAAGATTAGATGATGAACCACACATGACCTGTGGAGCTAAATTATCAAGGACCTCTCAAGTAGTGAAAGCAAGTAAAATATAAAAACAAAAAGTATATATATACATATATATATATATATATGTGTGTAGGGCATGGCTATCAACCTCACTTCGATCCTTTGGCACTAATAGTCTAATATCTTATCGGATCTTTTTGAAAATTTAAAAGGGATCTTCTGAAGTTTGTAGATAAAAAAAAAAAATAAGGGTTAGTAAAAAATTGGTAACTAAGTATACTTAATCAGTGGGCCTAACATAGTTTACTGTGAGGTACTGGTACCGGTACCGGTGAGGGATAACAATCATGGCGCACTTTATATATAGTTGATTTTCCATCAAGAGATAAGTAGAAACAATTGAAAAGAGAATTGTTAGAAAATGTTTACATACCACAAAGCGTGAAGATATATCTTTGCATTCTCCAATTGCTGCATACAGAATAACTGCAGCTTCATAGAGAAACTCTGCGACACCATGGTGCAGCTTTGCCAAGAGACTTATACTAGTACCTTTTTCTTCAGCCCACCTTATAGTAACTGCCTGCAAAACCTCCAAAAGAACATCAATTCCCACAAAAGACAAGCTTAACTCGTATTTTACATAAAACATGAACAAATTGAAGAGAAAGGGGAAATAGAACAGACTTGGAAAATACCACCTTATACAAGAGGAGTAAAGCATTTTTCAGGCAATGATCCAGTGATCGAAGCAAAAGAAGGTGAGCTGTAAAAGAGAACCAAAGTACTAACCTGTGCCTCGGCCAAACAAATGAGGTTCATGACTGTGGAAACGGATGGGAGAATTTCTGGTGGGTTTTCAACAAGCAAAGAATGTTGTTGTAAAGAAGCAAAACTCTCATCAGCAAGGTGACGATAAAGTCCGGCAGCTTCTCTAAAAAGGGTGGCAGATTGCACCAGGTCTATGGTAATGAAAAGAAAATAATCAAGTAAGTTTGTATATGGCAGTAAGAAAGTATGTAGAATTTGACGCTGAAACATCAATACCTACTTTCTGGCAAAATTTCCACCGCCCTTTGCCGAAGTATTGCCCCATAAAGGAAAAGCATCATTTGAAGCTCAAATTTCAAGTCACCGATTTGAAAGAATTTTGGACTCCTGAGATTAATAAAAAGAGGACGAGCAAAGAGCACTGCTCCATTGTATCTTAAGATTTGCCGTCCATTGACTTATTTGGCGGTTGCTGCTAACCAAATTGACATGGAAAATCAAATTTTCCAACAATGGTAGATACTGTTCTAGCTTTTGCAAAACCTGAGATATTTAAAGAACCATAAATGATAAGCCTGGGGAAAAGTGAAACAAGTTTAAGTGATAATTACATATAAATCAAAGAAAACTATGTCTACAAAACAACAGAAGTTTGTCATATTAGATTATATAGTCTGATTAGAAGAGAAAAAAATTAAATTCCTGAGCATCCCAAGAGACAAAAAGTAATCATGAGCTTCAGTTTAGAATTACAGGCGGCCCGTTTGGTTTATAGGTTTGAATAAAGATTCAAATTTGTTTAACTTTTCGTTGGAGAAAATACTGGCAAAAAAAGCTTGGTTTGATTTAAACCTGTAAAGAAAACAAAGACTAAGGGTTCAAACCAGGTGGTTTGAACCAAATTTCAACTTTTGTGAGAGAGAATACTGTAGCAAAATTCACACATTAGTGCCTTGCTAAAATTCTCCAGAGATTAAAATATTGCTGGTGTTCTATAGCTTACATACTATTAAAAGAAACATGTTCAAGAAACAATTTCCATAGTGACAAAAACTGACCTGTTGGGAATGAGAAGTTAAGCCTCCAGACATTTCCCTTGCAATGGCCTCAGTAATGGAGGTGCTTTCATTGATAGACTCCTCAATCAATCTACGCTTGGAGCTCAACTCTTTCAACTGCTCAAGTGTACATGGATCACTAGCGCCGTACACTTCCTCAAACACAATCTGCTAACATGGACAAAAGTCAAAACACCAAACATCACTATTTAATCATAGAAAACTGAAATAAAATGACAATAAACTTTTTTTCTAAACCCCTGTTTTTCAACTCAGCACCCAAAAAAAAAAGAATAAAAAAAAAACCTATTGCAAATATAGTCTAATATGTCGTAATAAAATCATGAAAAAAAAAAAAAAAAAAAAAAAAAAAACCACCACTCTTAACAACAATTCTGATAAATCCAAGAAATTATTTACCTTTTTAGTCCTCAATTTTGCAGGGTCTTGATAATGCAGCATCATTTTGCCAACGGAACGAAACCCAGCACTCAAAAAACGACAATTGTATTACAAGAGATCTCGATTCTCATATCAGTCTTCTCTCTTCTGCTGTTGATCTCGATTCTCATATCAGTCTTCTTTCTTCTGCTGTTGCTTATTCAACTCAAAAAGATGGAAGAAACCGGTGAATTCCTAGCTCTCGCCCGCGATGATAAATCAAATCGAAACCCAAATTCGCAATTCAATCGAAATTGGAGTTTTTCGTTATAACATGTAAGTTCGTCGTTATCACACCAGAAAAACGACGATTTTTTGTTTATTGAAAGGTCTCTCTGTGACTCTCAAGACTCAGTGTTGGAGTGCATTTATAATTGCAATATTGGAGTTATCTATTTTTTAGTATTAATTATTTAATTGGATTTCTTGCGCTCAGGAACTTTATATCATCTATTCATGTTTTGTTTTTGTTTTCGTTTTTTGCTAAAATATTCATGTTTTGTTTGTTTATTGGGATTCAAGTCGTTTTCCCGACAATTGCCTGTCGGTTTACTCTGTCGTTTCTTCTCGACCAAGGTTTCTCTGATCGTCTTCAAAAGACGAGTAGACGACTAGCATTATAAATGGGCGTGGTGGGCTTTTACTGTACGGAGAGCCCGTATAAATTAGGCCCAATGCCATCTTGGCTGAATCGGAGGAATAGAGGATAATTTTGTTAGTTTCCGAATCGAATTCGGATGCGAAAGCGTAAGGTGAGGATAGCGGATTAAGTATAACAAAAAATTTTATAAAATCTTTAAGATACTTTATAAATTATATTAATTTATATATGAATAAATTAATCACATTAATTTATTTATTAAGAACTTAATTATAAATAATACCTAACTGCCGATTAGGATGATAACTTGAGTTTTTTGACCTCAAACAATCATTGCTCCAAAGCCTTGTGTTTAGAAAACTAATATCTTTCACGTCAATTCTTAGAATCCACGAAGACATGTATGTGGGCACACCTGAGACAAAATGGGTTAGAATAAACACTCAAATTTTCACAAATATCAACGCATGCACGATGTAGAATTTTTGGAGAAAAATTTTTCCTTCCCACACTAAGAGAACTTCAGCCACACTAAAAATAATAGGTCAAAATTGTGTTCTCTTATTTATAGTGTAGAAGTCAAACTCCTAGAAAGAATCTAATCTTTATCACCAAAAGAAAGCGTGTTAATTATTTCCTATTTGAATTTGGAACAAAAATCTCCTACTCCTTATCCTCAATATGGCCGGCCAACATTAGGTGATCATATCCCTGTGGTAGGCATCAAATACAGATATGGAAGGAAGAGAAAATCATCATTTATCCTGCAGTCCAATTTTGACTCAAAATTCTAATTCTAATTTAAGTCAAACTTAAATTAATTTGAATTATAAATTGAACATCTTATCAAATAAGTTTAAAAGGATAAATTTAAATTGTGTTCACACTATGCGATCCAAAATTCAAATTCAAATTTAAATAATCACATTATTTAATTTATAATTAATTCTCAATTAATTATTCTCGAGTGTTTAATTTTAGAATTTCGTAATTCTAAAATTCTCATTTTGCCATGTGTGTCTTGTAGAATTACTAAGACGGCGCGGGGACTAATGGATCTATAATCTCGAGCTCCAATAAAATTAATAATTAATTAAACACTTTAATTAATTAATTAATTCTATTAATTCTAATAGTTATTCCACTATAAACTTGGAATTGTACTCTCGAAATTATAAACATTAATTACTTATAAACTGTGAAGTGTCCATTTGATAGAGTCACTGCATATAGATCAATCCTCCATAAATAATCCATAATTAGAGTTAGGTAGAATCCGTTAACCTCTCTAATTATATCTTCATCATTGAGTATCATTGATTCTCTAATGAATTCCATCTCGTATAATAACATTCCCGGCTACCTACTTCATCATATCTCCAAAATACATGGAATATGATTCAGGGTCTCAGAATCCGTACTGAGTAAATTAAAAGATACAAATCCATAAATAGGAGTTTGTTAAGAACTCAAGATTAAGATCATTCTATATATGACCATCGGTAGACTCAATTAGAATTTCTATACTTAACGGAAATTATTAGAAATTCATATTGCGTCTGTGTCCTTGTTCCACATAATCTCATTATGCATAATACACTCATTCAATATCTCACCATATTAACAGTGCGGATAACACCGTTCCATTCTAAATGGGAATGACATGTTTTAGTAATGTTCTAATTAAAGATTCTGAACTTTAATTAAATTTATTATGAACATCATTTTTTGATTATTATCCTTAAACATTATTCTCTCGCATACAGCACTTATATACAATGTTTAAGGTCACATAAATAATCACGGAATTTTCATTTAATATTCATAAAATATTCACAAATATATGCACATAAAATGATGAATAAACTCTTTTATTAAATAAATAATAAATATGCTATTACATCACATGCTTCTAGGACACCATTCCCAACAATCTCCCACTTGTCCTAAAGCAGGTGTGTCATGTCTCTAATTCCAAATCCTTCTAAGTGTCGATCAAATACATTTAGTGGCAATGTCTTCGTGAACAGGTCAGCAAGATTATTTTCCGATGTGATCTTCAAAACCGCTACATCGCCTCTATCCATAATGTCTCTGATCAGGTGATATTTCCTTTCGATATGTTTCGCACTCTTATGGCTTCCAAGTTCTTTTGAATTAGTCACCGCTCCACTGTTGTCACAGTAAAGCTTAATTGGCTTATCCATATGTGGAACAACTTCCAGATCAATTAAGAACTTTTAGAGCCATGTAGCTTCCTTTGCAGCTTCACAAGCTCCAACATATTCAGCTTCGATGGTAAAATCAGCAACACACTTTTGCTTTACACTTCTTCATACCACGGCTCCTCCATTAAGAGTGAACACAGATCCAGATGTCGACCGTCGACTATCTCTATCCGATTGGAAATAAGAATCTGTGTATCCGGTGAGAGACAAATCTTCTCCGGAATATACTAACATATAGTTTCTCATTCTCCTAAGATACTTGAGAATATACTTCACTGTAACCCAATGATCTAATCCCCGGTTGGACTGGTAGCGACTGACTACTCCCACTACATAGCTTATATCTGGTCTTGTACACAACATGGCCTACATGAGGTTTCCCACAGTCGATGTATAGGGATATTGTGTCATATCTTCTTCCTGCTGTGGAGTCTTTAGACATTGCTCCTTAGAAAGATGAATACCATGCCTAGAAGGCAAATTCCATTTCTTGGAGTTCTGCATCAAAAACCTAGACAACAGTTTGTCTATATAAGATGCCTGTGATAACGCCAACAGCTTTTTCTTGCGATCTCGAATAATCTTAATCCCAAGAGCATAGCTTGCCTCTCCCAAATCTTTCATTTGGAATTGGTTGGCTAACCACTCCTTTACATCTCTCATCAATCTCACATCATTCCCAATTAGTAGGATGTCATCAACGTAAAGAACTAAGAAGACCACTTTCTCTTCTTTCTTGTACTTGTAGACACATGGTTCATCAATATTTTGATCAAATCCATAAGACTTTATAGCCTCATCAAATCTGATGTTCCATGATCTAAAAGCCTGCTTCAATCCATAAATGGATCTCTGTAGCTTGCAGACTTTCTGCTCTTGGCCTTCCTCTATGTAACTCTCTGGCTGATCCATATAGGTGGTTTTCTCAAGATAGCCATTCAGAAAAGCTGTCTTGACATCCATCTATCATATCCCATAGTCAAAATATGTTGCAATGGCCAGGAGTATCCGGATGGACTTAAGCATAGCTACCGGTGAGAAAGTTTCCTCATAGGCAACTCCCTCCTTTTGGGTATAACCCTTAGCCACTAGTCTTGCTTTATAAGCCACTACTTTTTCATCCACTTATTTCTTTCTCTTGAAGATCCACTTGCATCCAATGGGTTTTACCCCTTCAGGTAGATCTACAAGTTGTCAGACTAAGTTAGCGTACATAGACTCCATCTCGAGTTTCATAGCTGCTTACCATTCTTCCTTATCAGAATCATCCATCGCATCCTTAAAGGTCGATGGATCCTCCTTACCGTCATCAGCGATGACGATTTGGGCTTCCCCGGTATACCAGTCAGATAACCTGCTTACCCTCCCAGTACGACGAGGTGCCACAGGAGTCTGATCAGGAACTGTGGTCTTTTCTCTTGGTGGTCTGACAACTCTTACCGATTGTGGTCCGATCTCATCAGAAAGTAACTCTTCCATAACTACTTTGCTTATGGGCTTAAAATCTATCATATATTCATGCTCCAGAAACGTGGCATTTGTCGATACAAACACTTTTTGATCTGCCTGACTATAAAATAGTACTCCTCTTGTCCCTTGTGGGTATCCCACAAAAATGCATACTTCTGATCTTGGTTCTGACTTCCCGGTCTTTTGCCTCAGCACGTGTGCTGGACACCCCCATATGCGAATGTGTCTCAAACTAAGTTTTTGACCATTCCACAACTATAGGGGTGTCTTAGGTATAGACTTAGATGGAACTAGATTCAGAATATATACAGCAGTTCTAACCCCAGAACGAAGTAGCTAGTGAAGAATAACTCAACATTGATCTTATCATGTCAAGCAAAGTCTGATTTCTCCTTTCAGCTACACCATTCTGCTGTGGTATACCGGGTACAGTCAATTGAAATACCACACCTTCTTCAATCAAGAAATTCCGGAACTCTTGGTCCATGTATTCACCCCCTCGATCTGATCAAAGTGTCTTGATTGATTTACCTAACTGTTTTTCAACTTCTGCTCGGAATTCCTTAAACTTTCCAGAGGTTTCAGATTTCCGTTGCATTAGGTAAACATAACCATATCTCGAATAATCGTTAATAAAGGTGACGTAATATTTGTAACCTCCTCTAGCTTGGACATTTAATAGTCCACATACATTTGAATGTATTAGTTGAAGGGGTTCTGTAGCTTTTTCTCCTTTCGTTGTGAAAGGCATCTTAGTCATTTTACCTTCCAGACAAGATTCATAGACCAAAAGCTCACCAACTTTTAGTTCGCATAAAGGACCATCATTTACCACTCTTTCAATCATGTTTAGGTTAATATGACCAAGTCTAATATGCCACAAATATGTGTTATTTTCGTGAGAAATCTTTTGCTTTTTATTCTTAGGTTCGGCAACTTTAAACATTTCAGTATTAAGCAGTGAGTTAGGTATTGGCTTTATACAATATAAACCATCATCCAAACGTCCAGAATAAATATTTAAACCATTTCGAGAAATATGAACAAATTCATTATCAAAATAAACGTTAATCTAATTTTATAACATCATTGTTTTTATTTTTTTGAATTCATAAATTGTTCTTTATCGCCTATGTGCACGTTTGCAATTGCAATTTGTTTTATGGTAGTTAAAATGCTTGTTTTATATTTCTGCAATGCTTGTTTGTAATTTCAGTGTTATAATGACATTTTAAGTAATTAAATGACATTATTGCCTACAAACTCGTAGAAAACTATGTTCTACAAATTATCATCTTGCCGATTTTTCTTTTTTCTTTTTTCTTTTTTGGTGAATGTTGTCTTACCAAGTTTAGTGTATGTACATTTCGATGATGCATGGTGTTATAGTATTTTGTTGTATAATTGATGTTACATTATGAGGTAGAGCTTGTTTGTAATTCAGTAACATAATGACATTGTAAGTGATATAATTGATACTACATTATTATTTGGTATTTACAACTCAAAAATACCCATTGAGTTGATTTTGTCATGCTTTTATTATGAGATATATATGGAACTAACTTACCCTCGAGGAACACAAGTCGTTGCAGTGTGAGTTTTATGTGTTTCCAACAGAGTAGGAAGTGCTTTCTCTAGAGGAATGCAGGTTACTCCAAGAGCGAGTGGCAACAAACAAAAATTCACAGCTTTTCGACACTTCCATAAATTTGCTCTAGAAGGGCGTAATTCGCTCATGGAGGTGCATTTCAGACTTTCCTTAAAAACTCAAGAACTTCACATGTTCTTCATGGACGAGTAAGGATGGATCAAATGAAGTATTTAAGGACTTTCTAAGATTGAACACTCAAAAACTAGCTACAGTTTTTGATAACTCCTTCAAAGATCTTTGAGCCGAAAGAGCACAAGCTCGAAGAACACTAATTCTTTAGCACGAAAGACTTTAACTCTCAAAGGAAGATCACTCAGAGTTTTGGTTAAGAAAGCTGAGGAATTCTTGTGAACTCAAGTGTGTAGAAGTGCTGGTGGAAGGCGGTTTTATAGGTGATTTTTTGGGATTTTTGGCGGTTGCTCTAGGCCATATAATTGTGCTCTGATTGCAGCCTGCATACACCATTTCCCTCCAGAGCACTAGCATTAGGTGGCTTTCCGCTTTGACAAAAAAATTAGTTGGAAATATGCATATTTAGAGGCAAAAATCCGAATTCTTGCTGACATGAGACCTTCCTCAAACTGGAGAATATGAAGTGTTTGACTAATTTTGGTGCTCTATGGACATTTCCATCTTCATAGGATTAATTGCACGTTAGACCACTCTCAGAGCGCCTCTTTCCATTTTTGACCAAATAGCCATCATTTGGGTTTCTTACAATTCCGACACTCCTGGAGCATGGGAAGTCCCTCTGGTCACAAGGGAGTCTTTCGAAGCACGAAGAAGAAATCCATGGACGCCTTAATTTTAACACATCTAAGTCTAACCGATCGACTTCCTTTTCTTTATTCGTATTGTGTGATTGTTTTGCAATTAACGTTGATGTGTAAAAATCAGTTAAAAGGTTTAATAAGCATCAACAGGCACTAATGATTTGACGACCAACATTCATAAGAGGGCCTGAAGGTGAAATCCACACTTTAGTTAGCTGCATGGCCAGTAATAAGATCTATCATTATTTACTAGAGATGTCAGCATTGCAATACTTAAACATTTATAGTACTTACAGAATATATCATAAGTTTTGTTTGAATAGTATTCACTATTCTAATTTCCCAAAATGTTGAAATTATGATCGGAATTTTTTGTTGATAAAAGTTTACATTTATGACTAGTTGATTCAGAAGTCTGAACATAAATTCAAATTTTTATGAGAAATACTGTAGCAAAAAGACAATTCAAACCTATTAACCAAACAGGAATTTAGATGAAACTATGAAAACTTTCTGCAGTGTTTGTATTTGCATTCAATTCATATTGTGCAATTGCATACCACAGCGTTTCACTAACTGCAGATCATCTCTGGCAGCGGCATCTACATCAATTTTCTCCAAGAAGACCTCTAATTGGATTTTCCATTGTTATAGCTTCTTTGCATAAATTTACTAGGTTCCGAGACTATACCTTGTTCTGGAATTTTTGTGAAAGGGCATGTCAAGTCCTAGTCCAAGTTTACAGGCTTTCTGGTGCAAGAGAAATTACAAGAGTTTCGTGTTCAATGTCTACAAAAGTATTTCAGGGGAAAAAAAATAATCATCAAATAACATATATATATATATATATATATATACCGGACGCTATTTACAAGTGATGTCATTCATGTAATATTGTCATGGAAATCTTCGAATAATTTGAACCAATATAAAGGCGACAATATGGATACTATTGAAGAAGTGTCATTGGTCGTTTTTCATGGTATCATCATAACCAATTTCCAACTGCTTTTGCTCAGTGAGTATTTTGTCAACAGCATCAACAAAGCTTGATAGATTATGGCAAATGTGCACAGCCAAGGAATTCACCCTTTCCTAATGAATCAAAATTTAGGCAACCAAAGAAGAAAAAGAAATTAGTTGAGAACTAAATACAACGTGAGAATAGATCGATGTTATGAAAGATAAAAATAGTATCACAAAGCTGTCACTCTTATTGAAACTCAACTCTATTGGTTAATGACTTCCATTTTGTTTAAATATTTTTCATATGCAAAATTCAATTACAAGGCCACTTCTTAATTCATGTACTATGCACATAAACTTGTGCAAACAGTGAAAGCTAAGAGGGAAAAGGACACCTAAACCAACCTTCCTAAAGAGAACTTTTATAATTTGCCATACGCATCAAAAGCAAGAAAAGAACCAAGTAAAGGCCAATAAGAGAAAATAGAGATAAACCCACCTCAACCTTACACAAAAAAATTGAAGGAATGCCCTTTGTGTTATGATCAGAGCTCTTAAGAGATGTCAGCTTCAAAGGAGAATTCGATAATGGCCAACCTTGAGAGACCTTTATGAATGCATCAACTCCTCCAGCCAGATGAGCTACCATCACCTCATCTTTATCAAAGTACTCCAAGGAGTATCTGCATTCAAAACAATCTATAAATACTTTTCATGACGAATAAAAAATATTCAAAACTTACAAAACAAACAGTCATTTCACAACAGTGATTTTTTTTAAAAAAGCTAAGAGTACACAGATCAAAATTGTGATGGTAGAGCTCACCCTGATTTATTTGCACTCTTTACTACAAGCTGCCTCATCGTGCAAGAAACAATTCTGTCTTGTACTTTCGTTACAAACCACTGCAGTGAACATTTACTGCAAAACCAATTTTGTAAATCCACAATTATATGATATGCTAATTAGTTTTGGTTCATTGCACGATTAAGTTAGGGTAAAAAAATAAGTAAAAGTAAAACAACAAGTCATCTAGTTTTGAATAGGAAGCCAAAATCAAACACTGGGCACAATAAGATTGAGGAAAAAAAATATCAAAGAAACCAACCTGAAACATTTTGCAGCATTTGAAATATTGTTTATGTATACATCATTCGGAAATATCTGGAAATTATAGAGTTTTAGTACCCATTCAAAAAGACAAATACAGAAAATATAGGAACTGAAGTATATACTTGTACATTACAGATAAGGATTTTTTATTTTTATTTCTTGAAACAAGAAACTGACAGAATGTCTCAAAGAGTCTATTGAAATTGTCTCAAAAGTATTATAAATTACACATCTCGGAAAGAAGAATACAAAACAAGAAACATCAAAATACAAATTAGAATCAAATCAGAATTAATTTCCTAGAATCAGGAAATACAATAACTCCCATATCATATCACATATCACACGAATTTCCTAAAATAGAAAAGCGTGTTTTTCTAACACTCCCCTCCAAGCTGATGAATGGATGTTATCCATTCCAAGCTTGTCAACTAAATTATGGAAAACCGTACTGGTCAACCCCTTTGTAAGAATGTCTGCAAGTTGGTTCTGCGAGGAAACAAATGGTGTACAAATCAAGCTACTATTGAGTTTTTCCTTAATGAAGTGCATGTCTACTTCTATATGCTTCGTGCGATCATGTTGTACCGGATTGTGTGCAATATTGATAGCCGACTTATTGTCACGATACAATCTCATTGGCCCTTCCCATTTAATCTTTAAATCCTCCAATATTATCTTCAACCTTAAAAGCTCACAAATTCCAAGTGCCATAAACCTGAATTCTGCTTCTGCACTTGACCTTCCAACTACATTTTGCTTTTTGCTCCTCCAAGTAACAAGATTTCCACCCAAGAACGTACAATAACCTAACGTTACCGACCCTGCATAATCAGCATCAATATAGGCTTCAAGACTTAATCCGCCTCCTCGTTTGAACAAAATCCCCCTACCAGGTGAACCCTTCAAGTATTGTAGAATTCTATTCACTGCTCTGAGATGAGTTTCTTTGGGATTATGCATAAATTGACTCACTATGCTAACGGCGAAATTTAATTTGAGAATTTAAAGTTAAACCTAGTATTAGTTCTAGAATTTGAGGCTAAACTTGGTTTTAGTTCTAAATAGAAGTTTTAAATTATTTTCTTAGAAAAACACTACATAACTGTTAAAACAGTTTTGGTGTTGAACAGAGGAGTTCGCTGAAGAACTCGAAGTATAATCTCAGAAAAGTATGTTGATTTCAAACTTTGCTAATAAAAAGTAAGGTTGTCAGACGAACCTAATCTTTAAATTAGAAACAATGTTTTACAATCCTTTAAGATAGGAAAAGAGAAAGTAAGCCATAAATAGAGAAATTAGACGTTCTTATAAGCTTACTAAAATAGAATAGCAAGTGATAGTTAATCTCACACTCTTAGTGGGTGTTTATTCTCAAAAACAAGAAAAAAAAAGAACAAACTCTTTTGGCGAATAGAGGATTCCACTTCCTAAAACCGGTAAGTAGGAATCTCACCTACAGTATAAATAGATTTTAAAATAAACAATACATATGAATTATATGTGTTTGAGTACATTTTATATTATAATATGCTATGCTATGTCATACTACATACACCTTAATAAGTCAAGAGGAACTTATAAGAATAATATCAGTTGAGTGCCGTACTAGCTTTCTAGTTGAGAGGTAATCCAGTTTTAGAACCTCCTAGTTGAGAGGTAATATAAAGCCTCCTAGATGAGAGGTATTCTGGCCCAAGTGAGGCATTCAGTTCAATTTTAATTACGAAGTCGATGGGGGCCTTATGAAACCTCACGTCCCGTATATCACGTGCAATTGTACGAGCACTCTGGCCCATCAGTAAGAAATATAAGACAAGATAATAAATCTACGATAAGAAATCATAATTTAGCATAATAAGTTCATGCATATCATTCATGTGAACTTTCAGTTATTTTACGAGTAATAATTCATACTTGCTAAGTGAAAGCTCATTTCAGAGTATTTATACTGTAGGTAAGCAACATGCGCATAATGCTTGATGGACTGATGGCGAGGCAGCGGACGAGCGGAGTGGAGGTCGGGGAGTGGATACCGCACGTAGTTATTTCCGCAATAGTTTAAAGTTTTAAAAGATTTTGTTGAATATGTCTATGAACTTGTGTTTTGGAAGTTTGTAGTATGATTGTTAAGTTTGTGTAAACTAGCAGGCTTTTGAAAAGCCAAAATATATTTATGTGTAAATTTATGCTTTAGAAAAGAAATTATTTTTTTGAAGTATAAACACTTCGCTATGTTCAAAAGTGGAAACTAGAATTTATGTCGTTACAGTCAGTTTCAAAAAAATGCTACAGCATTCTATATAGCATAAAATGCTACAGCATTCTATACAGCATTTAAAAAAATGCTACAGCATTCCATATAGCATTTGAAAAAAAATGTCCCTCATATTTTGGGGAGTTTCAGAAAGTATATGTTAAAAGTTAGTAACAGTGACGACCACTCAGTAGGGTCGTTACATCTGGAACATTAGAATTAGGAGAAATGGTTAGTGTGTCTTGTCTCAGATGATTGCACCTGCTTCGGTTGAGAGAGTGGCCCTTTCTTTCTTGAATAAACTTTAGCAAACGGCTCAAGATGAGTATGGTTTATTCTTTGTGTCACGGGTGTCAAGGGTGAATCATTTTTTGCCGGAGTAGGAGAGGCAGACTTAACAATTTGAACAGGAATAGGGACAGTCTCAGAATGTGAATTATTTTCTGCTAGAGCAAATGTTGGTTGAGACAAAGGTAACTCAAGAAGGAAAAAGTCTTTATCCTTATCCTCCATGAATGGCATCTCTCCCTAAAGATAAGGATCATGGAAGTATTGATCATCTTCAACAAAAGTAACATCTGCATACACATGAAATTTTCGTGTGGGAGGATGATAACACTTATAGCCCTTTTAAGTGGACGAATAACCAACAAAGACACATTTGAGAGCCCTCGGATCTAGTTTTCCAAATGTTGAGAATGGGCATGAACAAAAGCAACACACCCGAAGATTTTGGGAACAAAGATTGTTGGCTTCTCCCCAATAATTTTTTGGAACTTGTTTTTGGAAAAGGAAGGCTCGGGTGACTTGTAAAAGGTGACCATTTTCCGTTCAGCCACACCATTTTATTGAGATGTACTAATACAGGAGGACTTATGAATAATATCGTGTTGTTGAAAGAAAGGATAAAGGGTTTGGTTAAAATAGTCTCTAGCATTATCAGATCAAAAACGCTTAATTCCCTCCCTAAATTGTGTCTTGACCATATTGAAAAATTTGGGAAACACAAAGCTCACCTCATATTTATTTTTTAAAAGAAAAATCCACATCATACGAGCGCCATCCTCAATAAATGAGCCAAACCAACGAGCCCCAGAAATATTAGGTACGGTAGAAGGGCACTAAATATCGCTATGAATAAGAGTGAATGGACAAGAAGTTCTTTTATTGCTTATTGGAAAAACAAAACGTTTGTGTTTTGTGAGTTCACACACATTACAATGAAAACTCTCAACAGCAATTTTATTGAACAATGAAGGAAACAATACTTTAAGAACACCAAATGACGGATGACCAGGACGAAGGTGATGAAGCCATATCTTGTCTTTGTTGGATTGGACTGACTCGGTAAGGAATGACAGAGGGAAACCATCTTTACGTTGTTCACTGGGTCCTTCAACGTAGTAAAAGCCATCTCTTTCCCGAGCACGTCCAATTTTTTAATAGACACAAGGTTGGCGAACAATATGGGAACATGAAGGACATTTTTTAGTGTAAGGGAATCACTAATGAAGATATCCCCTTGTCCAGCAACAATAGTGACTGAACGATCAACTATGGTGATTTTCTTATTACTAGGGCATGGTGTATATGAGATAAATTTTGTGGAGGCTAAGGTCATATGGTATGTGGCTCCTAAATCAATGATCCATGTATTATGGATAACCCTATCAGAAGCATTAAGAGCATGAGAAGAAGGTGATATACTTGAGAAGGCAAAGTTACAAGTACCTACTGAAGATGACTGCTTCTCCAAAGACCCCCAAAAACTACTTCAACCTCTCAATCTCACCTTTGTTGAATTCTAGTGGTGTCTCCGAGTTGTTCTCCTCGATTGATCGTACTTCCACCATATGGGCTTGATTCTGTCCTCTTCCTTGTCCGCTCCTTCCTGCTCCATTCTTGTTTGGAATCTGTAGCCTACCATGAAGCTTCCAGCCTTTTTCCCTAGTGTGACGTGATTTTTTGTAGTATGTACACCATAAATTGTCCCTATTAAAGGACTTTGATTGATTGTTTGGCTGACCTGGCTGCTTGCTTTCTTCGGTGAATGACTGCTCCATTACTGGATTCCTTTCGCTTGTTGTTTTTTGACACCAACAACGAGCCTTCAACGGACATGTTCTCCACCATTACTCCTCTCCTCCCTTCTTCAGCGCGAACTATTGAGATTGTCTCATTAAGAGACGGAAGATCCTCCTTGCTAAGGATTTGAACCTACTGCATCAAACTCAATATTAAGTCTAGCCAAAAAATCATAAATTTTGTCCTTTTCAACAAACCTCTTAAGCATGGCTGCGTCTTCACTACACTTCATCTGGATGCATTGATAATGATCCATCTCTTGCCAAAGACTTTGCAAGAGATTGGCATATTCTGTAACCGTCTGATTTGCTTGTTTGGTGGCAGCAATCTTAGTCTTGATCTCATATATCTGTGCAACATCGCGAACCTTTGAATACGTTTGTTTGACAACCTCCCAAATCTCCTTGGTGGTATTGAGAAACATGCAAGTATCGCTGATTTCTAGGGACATGGAATTCCAGAGCTAGGACATCACCATCGAGTCTTCCTCGTCCCACGTATCATATCTTGGATCTCCTTTCGTAGGGCCAGTACCGAGCAAGTGACTCAATTTCCTTCTGCCCTTCAAATGTGTCCATACCAGTTGAGACCACTTCAAATAATTCCTTCTGCTGAGTCTATATGCTGCTTGAATATTGGGTAATTCCCCAATAGCAGAGTGACTGTTTTCAGTGGAATGAATCTTTTTACTTGAGATTCAGAAGTTTGGCTGGTTTCGGTGTTTTTAGGCATGATTTAGAAAGAGAGGAATGGATTGTGGACTATAATAGACAGAAGAAGGACGAGAAAAAAAATTTTCTGGATTATGAACTAGAGAAGAGCGGACAGTTTCTGTGGAAACAACGAGTGGAAGCAACATAATTCCCAGAAAGGGAAAAAAATAGTCCATGGCTCTAATACCATGACAGAATGTCTCAAAGAGTATTGAAATTGTCTCAAAAGTATTACAGATTACACATCTATATATTTACAATTGTAGAGGCTAAACTAGGAAAGAAGAATAAAAAACATAAACTTCCTAATACAAATCAAAATTAATTTCCTAGAATCAAGAAATACAATAACTCCCATATCATATCACATATCACACGAATTTCTAAAATAGAAAAGCATGTTTTTCTAACATAAACAATAAATTAATGCTTACACATTACAGATGAATGTTAAGACTAAAAAGAGATGACAATTAATGCTTAAATTTATATGTCCGTGAGGGTCCTGCAAAAGACTAGTAAAGCTTATTAATCTTGAGAAGACAGGGAAAAAAGACGAGGTTTTACAAGTTTCTTCAAGGAAAAAGATAAATGAATAAAACAGTGCCAACAACAAAGTATGATCAACTGGTTCTAACAAATTAGCTTTTACACTCAAACACAGAAAATATTTAAAGCTATATGACCCAGCGTACCAGACATAATTTAATAAGAAAAGAGATATAGAGCATATGAATAAATCTTCTTTTTTATTTTCTTTCGTTTGTATCTTTGTAAGACCCAAGTTTTGATAAAAAGAAACTTTGTAGATCATCTAGGCTTTAGTAATTAGAAGTAAAAAGAGGGAAGCAAAATGCACACAGCTTAGGACCATGTACACAGATATATGGCAGAAAATTTCTTCATCAAACTCTCTAATGGATATAATGATACCTCAGCATTCTTTTGATCCAAGGTCCACTCCAATAATTCAATTAACAACTCGAGCTTCACTTCAAATGGCACATTGACAGCTTCAATTGTTTGTTGCGACAAAATACTTTCTAAGTTTGGAATGTAAGTCTGCAATGAAAACCTAATGCAGTTTTCCTCAAGTGCAATGACTTTTACACTTGTTAATATATCTTCAATCTGCTCTATGGCATCAAACCTGCAATGGAAGACAAACAAATTAAGCATTGACCAATACAATACTTATATGTCAAAGCAAAATAAGTCTAAGCCAATTGTAGCAGAGTTACCATTTACAGATACCATCTAGATCCTCTAAAGATTTCAAGATGATATTTTTCTTCTTTATCTCATTCTCAAGTTCCAATAGCTGCAAATTATGTAGAAAATAGTTAAAAATGATCAATAAAATGGAAGGGCAACTTCAGATTATAACTCCAAAAAGAATGGTCTATGATTATCTAAATACATGTAAGACCAAATGCTGTTTATCTTCAGTATTTCTTGGATAATCATCACAGGCACCCAATTTTGCATTCTCCAGATCCTACAAAATCATATACCAATATACAATTTGAAAGTATTATCTATGATTTCTTGATCACATAGATGAAACAGAAATGGAAAGGCATGGAAGCTGTAAAGTAAATCAACCGTAAGATAGGAAAAAAAAATAATCAAGGAAGAACCAACCTGCAATGCTGTTAAATCCATTGCACTTTTCAAACCTTCAAGTTCAATTTCCAACTGATTGGAATCTACAAATACAACAAACTACATTAAGCACGGACAAACCTATATAAATAATGCTCTACAATGTGGACATATAAAAACAGTTAACACTAAATAACCAAATTCTTACCTTCAGCATAGGTTCTTGTAAGAATCTCAATTTCTTCAGACATTCTGCTATTTTCAGCTTCCACGAGGTTAAGCTCCTCGCCCAAGTGTTCCAAGCATGCGTCTAAAAAAATGTCGCATCAAATTTTTTTTTTTTTTTTTTTTTTTTTTATAAGACTAAGGAAATGTCAATCCCAATTAAACTAATAAGCTTGGTAAACAAAAATAATGGCAAAAATAGAAAATATAAGGAACTTGATTATATACTCTTAAGGCTTTAGAAGATGGAGCAATGAAAGGAAGGGTTCTATAAAGCTGTTATATATAAATTCCACTGCCCCAAAACTTCCTTAGGGATAACATCGTCATTTTCAGTTCCACAGAAAATGTCAAAGTCACCTGTCAACCCTCAAAAAAAGTTGAGAAGGGAGGACGAAATCAAATAGCAAATGCACCAGAAAACATGATATCTTAGAGTGTGTTCGGCTGCCTAAAAAACTCAAAAAAATGCAACTCGAGTTCCAACTTTATTTAAGTTCATGTTCTTTTAAGTTTGAACTCAAGTTTAAACTCGAGTTTGGGACTAAAACTCGAGTTCAAGTGTCCCCTTCAACTCGAATTCAGAAACTTGAACTCAAATTAATGAACAATATTTTTTCTATTCTTAAAAATGCTATAACTTTTTCGTTTTAATCCTTATTGAGATGATTTTTTTTCTATGCGTTGACAACGAAAAGACGAATAAAACCTCACCCATATACCCTATTAAAATTTTTCATCACCATTGAGTTTTTATTAAAATACTATCTAAATACAAATTTAAGTTTTGACTCACTCAAACACAAACTCAAAGAAAGATTATTATCTCAAACCATAACTCAAATGTATACAACCAAACACAAACTCAAGTTACAACTCCAACTCAAGTTATAACTCAAATTCAACTCAAAAACTACACTCAAGTCACACTCCAAAAGAACAAGCCCTTAGTTATCACTACATAGCACACTGCTTAAAATTCTATGTCACTAAGAATCTATTTATTTTCTAGTGTGTATTCCAAACACTTGTGTTGAGCGTGTGGAACCTAATTATCACATCAATGCTAGATCACGGGAACAAGCTCCCAGGACAAAATTTTAATCTAAGGGTGTTCCAGGGCTTTCTATATCTCCTTTTATAGACAAAGTGTGTCTGAGAGGTGTAAGGCGTGTGATTTTCATGTAGTCTTCTTCTTCATCATAGTGAAATTATGCACGAGTAGAAAGTGAATGAAATCACTGCTATAAATCTTGTGCGTGATTATTTGCTTGGCCCCGATTTATTACTCCCATTTCGTAAGAATTAGGGCTTTTAATTCCTGACAACTTGACCTCCACAAAAGTTTATACTTTATTCTCAGCAAAATTTCACCGGCAATACATCCACACAAAAAAAAAAAAAAAAAAAAAAAAAAAAAAAAAAAAGGCACGGGCACTCAACTAAAGTGCTAATCATACTTTTTCGCTTAGTTCTTGCACTTTAATCAAATATAAGAAGCAATACCCATATCTAAGCAAAGTAGTCCATTTCGTTAAGAGATAAAGAAGACTTACCAAAGTCTTTATCTTCCAAGAAACTAACATCTGACCACTCCGATCCTATTTCCTCCATTCTGCTCTGCAAATTCCTCATTTCCGACCATTATTTCGATCTATAAATCTCAGATATGAAATGTGCGAAGAATTAAGCCTACAAATTTGCAGAATACCTGGAACTTAAGAGCACAATCCTTCACTAATTTCTCCAAATCCGAATGGAACAACTCCGAATCATTGTCTTCCAAACTACTAAGCATTTCTTCAAGCTCTTTTGCTCGACTTTAGCAAACAATTTCAAAAAATTTGTCAAAAACAAAGGGAAAATCAAAATTTGATTCAAAACTTTGTATGTAGAGAGTGAGAGAGACCTGCGAATGGTGTCGAGGTCGAGGTCGAGGTGCTCTGAAGAAGGAGGAACGATTTCCATGGCGTTTTCCATTGCGTTGCCTCTCCAAATCCGTCCAAAAATCTCTGGAATTTCTGTGTCTGCTTCTTCTCCCGCCCTTACAAACTCACCTCTGAAATTCTTTTCCGGATTCAAAATGGAAGAAACCGGTTTTAGTGTAGGTGAGCTTCTAATGGTGGGCTTAGAATTGAATTTAGTCTGGGCTTCAGTCTGGGCCCAAGTCCGAGGACCCAGCCCAATTTACACTTTCCTTTACGTGCAAGTTAAAAAAGTCTAGGATGATTTACCTATAGAGAATTCATCTGGTATTTTTTATTTTTTTAAAATAGTGATGTTTCTTACTTATTAGCCGTTCAAATCTACATTATTTTTTAATATGATTTGACCTATGATTAGATTTAATACAGATTCGACGGCTGATAAATAGAGAATGCAAGTGTTTCTAAAAAATAAAGAACACTAGAGAAAGTATCAAAAATTTTAAAAGATTACAAGAATGGTAAAATATTGTATTATTAAAATAATGACTATTAGTACAAAATATGATATTATTATTATAATAAATATGTCATATTTGCTATATTTATAATATTTTAAATTTTTTGTTAAATTTGAACTTAAAGTATGAAGAATGAGATAATAACACTTTTCGGAGGGGAATAAAACTAATGACATAACTCTTGAGGTATAAAAGTTAATAACATATTCTCTACAGAAAACTAAGGCATCGTTCACTTGACAGATTTGAGTTTTCAATTCGAGTTAGATGTGATATTTTCTGAGAGCTTTTCACTATAGCAGAAAAAGTTAGATGTGACATTTTTTAAGAGTTTTTTACTGTAGAAACCTAAAACTAAAAACTCGAATCGGTGAAATGAACGAGACCTAAAAGTTTTCAAAAACAACCCCACACCTTTTCTCCTTCCCATAATTGTCTTGTCGTGGTTGTCTCTATTGCCTCTTATGTTTTCTTCAATATTAAAATATAAAATCTAATATTTACTATAACTAATTTCAAACTTTGTCGTTTGTTACAATTAGTTTCAAAAAGATACTATTTACTACAACTTCTATTATTTATACCGCTTTATGCGTAAATAAGACTTTTTAAGTTTTTTAAAGAAATTGGTATAATTGAATACCAACTCTAAAAATAGTATTTCTCCATTTCACTTCAATTTTCTATCCCAATCAATCTTAATTTTATGGTTTGCACTACTAAAATGTGTATTGGTTGTAAAAATACAAATTCACTGATTAATTTCTTCGATATCTTCATGCATGCTCCACTCAACTCAGGAGCTATAGCTTAGTTGGTAGAAATTGGCACTAGTAATTGGGTCATTGCAATTGCGAGTTCAATATCTAATTATCTAGGCTTAATGATAGTATCTTATACTTGATTAGTGACTCACTTTCTAAATAATGAGGAAGAGTCGAAACATTCCACTGAAAAACTCTATCAAGACGAATGTGGATTGTCAAGAACATAGAAGAGATAAAATGATCAAATAGGGAAAAAGTAATAGGATGAATTGCTCAAATATTGACAAGTGAGGCTTTTTTGGGTGATGATACTTGTAATTGTCATTGCTAAACCTATTCATGGTCGACAGGTGAAATTTCAGCTTTTAGATCGAGTTTAATTGAATCTCCAGCTCTGGCCATTATTTTGAGACATTCTGCATGTGAGCCTCTTCAAACAAGACTTATAACTATTTATCATGATACTTATAGGATATGGTCATCAAGAATTAATTACTAGAGACAGACTAACTGAGAAAACAGTAACTAAATATATGATTCTCAATCAACAAGGACAAACTGTAATATGTGTTTATATAGATATTGGTTTTTCAAATAAAAAAATAAAAAAAAAAAAATCTTCTTGCTGAGGTAGTGAGGTTCTGGAAGGTGCACCTTACGCGTATCTTTCTTGACAAGTTTATGGCGGCAGGCCGGACACATATTCTGAGAAGCTATTGTAGCTTCAACACACTTCTTGCAAAAAATGTGACCACACGTTGAAGTCGCTTCGACAATTTGGTCAAGGCAGATTCCACATTTGAAGGTAGGTTTTGGCACTGGAGGAGGAGCTACTGAAGGAGGCGCTACCGGAGGAGGCGCTACTGGAGGAGGCACCAGAGTGTCAGTAGCCTGTTACCGGAAACTTCCAAGATTAGTTCTAAGACTTTCACCAAATCTGCACACTTGATATATAAGTTTCGTAATTTCTTTTACAAACCAAGGACAAGAATCTACTACTTAAACTAACTACACTGTTAAGCCCACTGTTGGAAAAGGAACTGGTTAAGGACAAGAATCATGTGGTGTATACATGCAAATCATCAAAGGGTGTGATAAAAGCCACACTTCTTTGTGTTTGAAAAGGATATATGATATCAAAAATTGAACTTCTAAGTAAAAACTTTTTTTTTTCTCCATTCATAAGTCCAAACTTAAATGAACTATTTTCTACCCTTTTACAGACACACACTTGGTTATGAACTTATGATGTAGTTTTTCCTTTTTTTTTTTTTTTTTCATTTTGGGTGTAGAAGTGATGTTATCTCTCTTAACATACACTATATATGTACACACATTTTCAAAGAATAAAATTAGTAAATAAATAAATAAATAAAACAACAAATACCGAAAAAACAAAAAGCATCAAGAGACATAGTAGCACAAGCAAGAAAAGGATATTAATGAAAAAAAAAAAAAAAAAAAAAAGCTTCTTACGATATCCTGGTTCATTATGTTATGGCCTATAGAGTTCTTAATGTAAATCTTAACTTCATAGTGATAGCTCTTTTGTCATGTGGACTTGCGTATAGGTCACCAAACTGGTTGAACCAACCTAGCAAATATAAATAAGTTAATTACACTAAAAAATGGACAAGAAACGGCTTATGAAAACATAACTGAAGCTTGGATTATGTTTCATATAGAAGGACCTTTTTTTCCTAAACAAATGAGCAGAGAATATGATTTCGAAAGTCTTGTAGAAATATTCAAAACATGATTGAGCATAAAATTTAAAACTATTCAAGTAGAGGACCAAGAAAATAAAAATGAAACTGACAAACAGTTCTATTACACACTGATCACGTCAAAGGAAAAAAAAAAAAAAAAAAAACTATCAACATGAAGTGTTTCTCACAGACGAATCGTATGCGAAAAACAGCGAAGATCATAGTGAGATTGAATTGATCGTAAATCGCAAGTAAGTGGAAAAAGGCAGTTAGGATTTCTCAAGTAATGTTGAATCTCAATGCCAAAAGTGAAACAAGGGTTCTGTGTATTATCATAATTTTCACAAATTACCCTCAATCGTCATACATACTCAATCCAAGTTTTTTTTTTTTTTTTAAAAGAAACAAAAAAGAAAGGAGGCAAAAACATCATTATACAGTTAGTGAAATTTGAGAGTTGATAGACAACCATACAAACACCAAACAAAACTAAGATAACTTAGGTTGTTTTTTTGGAGTGTAATTTGAGCGTAGTTTTTGAGTTGAATTTGAGTTATAATTTGAGTTGAAGTTGTAACTTGAATAAAGTTGAGTGAAGTTGAATAAAATTGAAACTTAAAAAAACGTGAACTTGAATAAAGTTGAAACTTGAGTTGTCTTTTTTTGAGTTTTTTAGACAAAAGAACATGCTAGTAGTTAAATAATAATAATAATAATAATAATAATAATAATAGTAATAAAAATAGTAATAAAAATAGTAATAATAACAGTAATAATAATAATAGTAATAATAGTAATAATAATAGTAATAATAATAATAATAATAATAGTAATAACAGTAATAATAGTAATAACAGTAATAATCGTAATAATAACAGTAATAATAATAATAATAATAGTGTAATAATAATAACAGCAGTAGTAGTAATAATAGTAGTAGTTAAATAATAATAATAATAATAGTAATAAAAATAGTAATAAAAATAGTAATAATAACAGTAATAATAATAACAATAATAATGGTAATAATAACAGTAATAATAATAATAATAGTAATAATAGTAATAATAACAGTAATAATAATAATAATAGTGTAATAATAATAACAGTAATAATAGTAATAATAACAGTAATAATAATAATAGTAATAACAGTAATAATATTAATAATAACAGTAATAATAATAATAATAATAATAATAATAATAATAATAATAATAATGATAATAATAATAATAATAACAGTAGTAGTAATAATAATAGTAATAATAATAGTAATAATAATAATAATAATAATAATAATAATAATAGTAATAGTAATAATAATAGT